AGGTGCGGAATTCAGTTTTTCTTCAAAATCTGACGATTGGATGGAGCACACAAACCTCAACTGGTTTTTGAAAAAACTCCATTTCGAAAGTAGACGCAACGAAAATACGCATACGCGGCACGCGTTTTGGACGCAATGTCCTATCCAGTCTATATACTGCAGATCAATGCATGTAACCCTTTGTGCAGTGCACGTGTACAGTGGGCATAGTTAAAACTGAAGTGACGTCACACTTACGAACCTGATTAGGATAAGGCGGACGTTTTAGAGACAATCCTGGACAAATCTCGTTGGAACATGCCTCCCCCTCGCCCCCTGTCAATGTTGCTTCTCGTAGGGTAAGTTGGGCCGAATCTTGGTCCAATAAATGAACGCAACATTGAATGGGGGAGAGGGGGATCTTAATTTGCAACGCGCTTCCCACAAGGTGTTCCAACTGTTTTGTCCAGGATTGTAGCTGGGACTAAAGAGTATCATGTCTGTCAGTGGAAATAAGTTGCAGCCGTGAGCCGTCCATTTTTATATTGCTTCCTTATGAAAGCATCGTGAGGCACAGTCTGTGTCCAAACTAACCAGCTATGGCTAGGGAATAGCATGAGAGTCAATGGAAATTACAGCCACAAGCCATCTACTCCATATTTAGGTTTGTGCAGTGGCGCATCGAGGAGGGGGACAACTTGCCCCCACAAATATTTGTTTAAATTTTTTCCCTTCTGTAGTATAGACAGTCCATACATGAAACGACTGACAAATGAAGAAGGGCAAATGTCTCTCTTACAAATATAATTAAAATCAAGGTTGCCGGGACCATGAGTAAGGCTTTTGATATTTTATCTCCCCAAACATCATGCTGAGTAAGCCCAAAGCCACACCCGCGTTTGAATCCCCCCCCCCACACACACACCCACCCATACGAACGCAGCGGTGTTTGTGCCATGTGAAAGTAGATCTAAACCATCAAGCCGCAACTAGGAAGTACAACGCTTGTCAATGGGAATTGGTTGAATCAATCTAGCCCGTTGCTTGTAACGCGTTGCTTATATTATTTCCACTACCCCCAGAGATGGGCTACGGTATAACTGATGTACACGTGCATTACTTCTTGCTCAAACTGGTCCTGTCAGTTGTGCAGAAATGACCCTCCCGTAATGAACTTTATGTCAGTTTCCCCTAATTTGGTCGTATTAGCTAGCAACATTTATGCTTTCTTATCATGAAATAGGGCAAGCGCAAATTAATTTATTTGGGGGGAAACAACGACCTCACTTTTCAGAACGAATCCCTCAAAAGTTAATTACCGAAACTAATATGCGGTGATTTGTGTATTTTTGGCAATACTTCTAATTGTTTGGC